GGAGTCCCATGCGGGTGGATCACAAGGTCAGGAGGTCGAGACCAGCCTGGCCAACATGGTGAAACTCCACCTCTACTAAAAAAATACAAAAATTAGCGGGGCATGACAGCACGCACCTGTAATCTCAGCTACTCGGGAGCCTGAGACAGGAGAATTGCTTGAACCTGGGAAGCGGAGGTTGCAGTGAGCCGAGATCACACCACTGCACTCCAGCCTAGGCGACAGTGAGACTCTGTCCCCCAAAAAAATAAAAATAAAAAATTCAAACAACCCAACAAGAACATGCAAAGGACACTGATCACAGAAAAAGAATAAATATATGAGGAGATACAAAAACTTACTCGTAATTAAACAAGAGGAAGTTAAAACAATAAAATATGTTTTTCACCTATAAGTTTAGTAAACTTTGATTATACTCAATATTGAAAAAGTGTGTGCTGCGCATGGTGGCTCATACCTGTAATCCCCAAACTTTGGGAGGCTGAGGCAAGAGGATCGCTTGAACCCAGAAGTTTGAGGCCAGCTTGGGCAACAGAGGGAGTCCTTGTCACTACAAAAAATTTTAAAATGAGCCTGGTGTGGTAGCACATACCTGTGGTCCCAGCTACTTGGGAGAATGAGGTGGGAGGATCGCTCGGGTCACGGAGGTCGAGGTTGCAGTGAGCCATGCTTGTGCCACTGCACTCCAGCCTGGGCAACACAGAAAGAACCTATCTCAGACAAAAAAAAAAAAAAAGACTTTGATTCTGATGTTCCTCTCAGATCTCCCCAACTTGGGAATTACTAGTTTATCACTTACGTCGATAAAGCAACATTTCTTTTCATTTTAAAGGTTTTAAATAGTTAATTATGCTCCCAAACTCGACAGTGTCAGAATCACTGAGTGGGGAGGAAGGAGGAGGTTAAAAAGTACATAGCCTGCAGGCATCCCACCCTACAGACACAGACTCTCTTGAAGACTTGGCATCTTGGGCGGTGCCAAGGAATCTGCATTTTAACAAACTCCCTGAAAGACTCCACACTAGGACTGGGAGGCACTGGTTGGAAAATTAGGTCAGTTCAGCTTCTCCAATCTCAACCCTGGCTAGTGGGGTTGATCCATGTAGATCTAGAATCAGGAAGCAGCCATACAATCAAGGTTGTCACCAATATTATCATGGTCGACAACAGCAGCAGCAGCAGCGGTATCTTAGTTGTTGTCATAGTCATCATCATCATCATCATCATCAAAAACATCTATGGGTTCCTATTATATGAAAGGCAGGCACTAACTTTAAAAAGTAGAAACGAGGCAGAGGGCTGTAGGATACAAAGGCTGTGACAGCTGGGACTAGAAGAATGGGTCTGGATTCAATTGGAAGTTGGTTAAGAAGAGGTATGGTAAGTCAGTAAAATACATCTGTCACTTATACAAAGATATTTTATATATAACGTAGGCCAGCAAACTGATGAAGCCGCTGATTTGATTTGATTTTTTTGAGACAGGGTCTTGCTCTATCACCTATGCTGGTGTGCAATGTCGCAATCACAGCTCACTGTAGCTTCCACCTCCAAGGCTCAAGTGATCCTCCCCACCTTGGCATCCCAAAGTGCTGAGATTACAGACGTGAGCCACCACACCCGGCCCATGCCTTTCTGTAAGAGAGAAGAATTCAGTGTTTCCAGAAGAAAACTTCTATCTTCATAAGGATCATGTGCATGACTGGGTGAGGATTTGCAAATTAGCATATCTTGTAGATAAGTTTTGCTCATTTGAAAGCCTAATTTGGTCTTAAAAGAGAAGCTTATTTCAGTTTTCCCAGGCATGATAAAGTGACCTTCAAAATTGTTAAGCCTGGGCAGGGGGTGGCCGGGGCCACGGAGTCCCTTGGTCCCCTGGGTCATGCAGACTGGGAATCTTGTCTGAAGTTCTGTGGGAGCAGGGATTCATTGTTTACCTTTTTTTGTTTGTTTGTTTGTTTGTTTCAGATGGAGTCTCGTTCTGTCTCCCAGGTTGGAGTGCAGTGGTGCGATCTCGGCTCACTGCAAGCTCTGCCTCCCGCGTTCAAGCAACTCTCTGCCTCAGCCTCTTGAGTCGCTGGGATTACAGGCACCCGCCACCACGCCCTGCTAAGTTTTGTATTTTCAATAGAGACCATCTTGGCCAGGCTGGTCTTGAACTCCTGACCTCGTGATCCACCCATCTTGACCTCCCAAAGTGCTAGGATTACAGGTGTGAGCTACCACACCCAGCCAGGATTCATTGTTTATCACTTATACCTACAGCTAGAGCCAGGGTCTGGCAAGCTCAATAGATATTTCTTGTATTCATAAATGAACCTGGTCATAAATTCACCTGAAACGCTTACTGAAAACATTTTGCAGGGCATGAAAACCGTTTGACACAGATGGAAAAAGGTTTACTTCCTTTCCTTCTTTCTTTTTCCTTTCTCTTTCTTTTGTTCTTTCTTTCATGAGACAATCTCTTTTTCTTTCTTTCGTTCTTTCTTTTTCTTTCTTTCGTGAGTCAGTCTCTTTCTTTCGTGAGACAGTTTCTTTCTCTTTCCTTCCTTCCTTCTTTTGTGAGACAGTCTCTTCATTGCTTCCTTCCTTCCGTCCTCCCTCCCTCCCTCCCTTCTTTCCTCTCTCCTTCCTTCCTTCCTTTTTTTTCTTTTCTTTTCTTTCGTGAGGCAGTCTCACTCCGTCGTCGAGGCTGGAGTGCAGTACAATGACGTCAGCTCACTGCAACCTCCACCTCCCAGTTTAAGCTCGTGCCTCAGCCCTCTTGAGTAGCTGGGATTACAGACATGCGCCATCACGCCCGGCTAATTTTTGTATTTTTAGTAGAGACAGGGTTTCACCATATTGGCCAGGCTGGTAAGTAATCTGCCCACCTCAGCCTCCCAAAGTGCTGGGATTATAGGCGTGAGCCACCGCGCCCAGCCAAGACAAAAGATTTTCATAATTATTGTCCAG